ATCATGAGATATAAGTATTTTTATCTTTGCAATTATATGCTTTTTTCTTTATTCAAAACTTTGAACATGTTCATGAATTTTGAACCTAGGTTCAATAGGAACACTAGCTAATATGAAAAAATCAATAAGAATGTTGAATCGTCTTAGTCCAGGTTTGATTCAAAGACAGATTTATGTATAGTGCTACACATCTAAAAAAATCACGAGTTTAGTCAAGATTTCACTAACCACTCATTTAGCTAACATCATGCCAAGTGACAATTCACTAACAATCTAACCCTAACTTTACATAATGTTGACAAATTAAGTTTTGGTATAATGACTGCCAGTAAAATAAGCAGCACTACAAGAACAAGAATCGTAGTCTTTATTGGGTATTGCATCCCTAGTCTTAATTACAATTATTTTTATGAATAACTTAAAACCCAAATAAATTAGTTTTTAATGCTATCAATGCTGGTAACTTATTGATTCAGTATCAAATTTTTGGGTAATTTTTTTAGTTTCAATAAAAAAAAAGATAAATGGAGAATAATTTGTTGTTAGAAAAGTGTACCATTGGTACAAAGGCATGGAAATTATGTAATTTAATGTAAATAAACTAAATCATAAAATTTTACATTATTTATATTATATCAATGCCATATGTATTCATTATCACCTGATTTAGAAAACTGATTAATAGCATGTTAAAATGCGAGTAAATTAAATAGCATTTTAGTAGTATGTTAAAGTGTAAAAAAATGACATTAAAACCTAAAATAAATACACTCGTCCTTAAGAAAAAAATTTTATTATTTTTTTGTATAGATCCAAAAAGAATCATATTGAGCAGTAAAGTGCTTGAATTTAAAGATGAGCTTATGTGTAGATTTTCTCAATAGTTAATTTTTTTATTTCAATATAAACTACTAATGCACTTTTAAATTTTATTTTAATTAATGATGGATAAATTAGTTTTTATTTAATTATAAATGAAACAGTTTAGTGTAGTATTTAAAAAATTGGATTTTTTTAGTTGAATGCAGTATTTAAAAGTTACAAGATTTTTAATTGAGCACAGTGTATAAAAAAATGCAAGCTTTTTAATTGTGAGCAGTATTTAAAATTTGAAATTTTTTATTTGATAAAATATTTTTTGCATTAATCATCAGTAAATTGAATATCTTATACATTCTGTCGGATTGGCATAATTAAACCTTTATTTAAATAAAGAATATAACTAATTTGACACCTAGTGTATAAAACTCGTATCACGTGTATAGTGTATAAAACCTGTATCACGTGTAATAAAACTAATTAAATATTTATTGCGATTGTGTAATTAATGCGTAACATGATCAACATTTAGAGTATTGCATATATCTAAATAATATATAGTATACGGTAGTATATTTAAGCGAATATTGCATGAATGATGTAATAATCAAAACACTATATAACGATAAATTAAAGAAGCGAAAGATTAGTCTTTTGAACTAGAACAACAATAAAACGAAGGGTAAAAGCGTGTGATACTTATCTGAAACGCGAAAATAAAATACTGCATATTGAAATAAGTGTTTGACGCAATAAATACACTGAATTTTATAACGACTTTGATTAGATATCAACGACTCTTGTAAATCCTGTGATTTTTATCCTTTATCTTTCATACTTTCTATAACCTTTACGCAACTCAAGGCTTTTACTATATATTTTGCGGTTTATATTAACCATATATCTTTTACGGTTGAAATGGATGATGTGATGGATGATTCTCTTATAATCGACCATAATATTGGATATAGTAATGACTTTTATCTTCATAACCCAGAATATACTGAGAATTTTTGTAACTTTCAAAACAAATCTGGCTCTTATGTTCGGTTTTTTCAAGGTTCTTATGATCAAAATTTCCAAATTTCGCATGAATCCTTCAACTTACATCCTTGTAATCAGTCATTTCAAGAAGACATGTCATTTCAAAAATACACAATACATACAAGATCTTTGCAATAATAACATAACAAATCCGCTTGTCTCTTACAATGAGTTTCAACACACTTCTTCTTCAATAAAGAATTGTGAAAATGTGCCTAATGTTGAAACGAAGTTAAGTGAAACGGCCGATGAGGAATTCCAGGAAGAAGAGTCACGTGATGAAATTTCGTTAACATTAGAATCAGGGTTGTCATTTCCGGATTGGAAATCTTTTAATATTTGGTTGGATCAGTTTGCAAAACAGGAAGGCTTTAATTATAGGATCAGAACTAGTGAAAAGGATGGAACTAGACTTAAGAGAGTCAATTATGTGTGTGTAAAAGCGGGTACATATGATTCTAATGTGACAGTTGACCCTAATAAACGGCGTAATAATGCATCTCAATGAACAGGATGTCTTTGGAAATTGAATGTCACGTCTCCTAAAACAACATCTGAAGTAACAATTAATTCTTTTAATGCTAAACATAATCATCTACTTACCCCTATGATTAGGACAATCACTCCTCGGTTTCGCAAGTTAACACCTCAAATGTTGACTGATATTGAAAAATACGTGATTCAAGGCAGAATGGATGCTGTATCAATATACCCATTGCTTAAACATGATTATCCGGAACATCCATTATATAAACGTGACCTATACAATGCCATATATAATTTTAGACAAAAAAATAACCCGGGTGATATGGATGCTTCTTTGATGCTCCAGACTCTTCTTCACTGGAAAGAAGAAAATCCTTTTTGGATTATTAAGACACGGTTAGATCCTATGTCTAGAAGGCTAATTTCATTATTTTGGATGTCGCCAACTCAGAGAGATTTGTACGAGACTTTTCATAACATAGTTATTATGGACACCACGTCGAATACAAATCGTTTCAACTTTTGCTCTTTGTTATGACCGTTATTGATAATCATTATAAGACGAGAATTGTAGGTTGTGGAATTATTGAAGATGAAACGTTAGATACATTTCAATGGATTTTTGAGTCAATATCTGAAGAAACTGGCATAACACCTACAACAATATTTATGGATAGTGATCCGTCTATGATAAGTGCAATTAAGAATGTATTTCCAACTACCAACTATCTCTTATGCATATTTCATATAGACATGAATATTAAAAAACAATTAAGAAGAAAACTGGGTTCTCAGTTTGGGGCATTTCGATCTGATTTCTATATTTGCCGCAATAGCTTATGCGAAAGTCTTTTTGAATATCGATGGACAAAATTATTAAATGACTATCCGATAGCTACTAAATATTTGGCTAATAGTCTTTATGTTAATAAAAGTTCATGGGCAGTTCCTTGGATTAGCAAAATATTTACAGGAGGTGCTCAAAGCACTCAAAGAATCGAGTCTATAAATATGCACATTCATCAGAAAGTTGATCGCTCAACCTCATTACATGATTTACTTATAAGTTCTAATCAAGAAGAGCATCTTATGAAATTTGAAATTCAATGTAATGCAGTTTCAATGGTTGGGTTATCAAATTTGAGTAGTCAGCTTTTTTTTGAAGTTGATGAAAGTTTAAAGGAGTTTCTTATGCCAGTTATGCTTGGCAAACAGAGAGATCAGATGAACATGAGTGTCTGCTATGACGTTATGCATATTCGAGAATGGCAAATATTAATTGAAGAGCATATAGATAATTATGATATTGAGTTATGGGTTAGAGAACAAGAACATGACACATGTCAAATTTTATTCAAATCTTTAATACAAGATATACCGCATGAAATGATTCTTCAAGTATGGCACGTACGTTATACAGGAACATCTGGGCATGGTCATTATGTGGTATTACTCAATGATGGTACACATTTATGTACCTGTCTTCTTTTAATCAACAAAGGATTAATCTGCCGACATTTTTTTCGTGTTGGTACATTTTCTCCATTTGCTATGTTTCACATAACAATTCTCCCGAACTGTTGGTACTTGGAACCGAATAAAGTGCTTGATAATCCACTTCAACAAATACCTGTAATATTTGTTTCTAAATTTGAGCAACTAGTAATCCCTGAAGTTGCACAAAATGTAACATTACAGCACCTTTCTTCACTTCGTTCTAACATACAAAATTTTAAATCAATAGCTCAACCAGCTAAGACAAGATATGCAAAACTATTTGGGCTTTCAAAAAAAGTAGTTGATCTTGCCATTAAAGCCGATTTACATAATGAACTGTCTGATATTCTTGGCAATTTTCTTAATGAATCCCATTATTACGAAACACAGAGGACGCCCTCCTAAAAGGCTCAAGTCAAGTGTAGAAGAACCATACAAGAGTAAACGTTATCTAAAAGATAATGTGTCTTTTAACACACGTAATGAAGAAATGGGTTTGAATAGTAATGTCACAGGTGATAATACAGGTTGCAAATGTGGAAAATGTAAACAGTCAGGTCATTACGCTAAAACCTGTACTAGGAAGTAATATATTAAGTACTTGGGTATAGAGATACATTTAATATTGTTTTATTATAGTAGTTCCTTGAATTATTGCATGATTTATAAACTTGAATGGCTATTGAATGATTTGTAAAATTGTGTGATCCTATAACTAGTTTTTTAATCGTGATTGATTGTGTGATCATTTTTAACTTCAAGCGAATATCAGTAAATTGGATAATTTATTCATTAATAAGGCTTAAGTATATAGCAGGTTGTAACTAACCCATTATATAGTTAGAGTTTAATTGAACAAAAACCTATAATGCATTTCAACAAATAATTTTACTTGCCTTAAAGCGTTTAAATCTCCTTACTTTTACCAAATTTACTGATACCTGATGGATTATGCACGATAAGTACACACGTATATTATTTTTACTAACCTTTAATAATAACTTACAGTTTTGGGTCTTATTCGTTTTTTAAATTAGTGTTATACATATGAATAAATATGTACATACGTACGTATGTATGTCCGTATACTATATATATCAGATATGTATCATATAAGCAACCCGGATAACTGAATACCCAGGTCAAGATATTATTTTGAAAAATTCTAGAGCTGTATTATTGTTACACGTATGAATTCTCACAGTACGATTAAGGCCGTTTCTTGCAGGTACTATATTAGAGTTGGTCCCGAAACCACGTGATGCTAATTTGTCACATTCATTTACTTATAAAAATCGACGATCTATTTTGATTTTTTATAAGTAATAGCATGTGACAAATTAGCATCACATGGTTTCGGGGCCAACTCTATTACTATATACAGTATTCGATTATTATTTATGTATTACACAAGCAATATTATATTACACGAATGATTGTATTATTTGTATTATATAAATAATTTATATGTGTTACACGAATATTTTATTTTTGTTACACTAATAATTTATATTTAGTTATTGTAAAATTGCATTTTATTATTTGTTGTGTAACCCGTGTTTATACACCTAGTGTCTAAATAGAAATTGTCTATTAATCCCAAATTTACTAATTTTAACATATATGAGGATTTCAACATGAATGTTTTTATTATTTATTGAACTTAAGGAAATTTTTATTTTTTTTTAGATTTTTTTGCTGTTGATTATTTGATAATCTTAAATTGTCAAAGTTCTATAAAAAGGATTTGCTGATTTTCAATTTCGATTTAATTTTTGTGATCATAAAATGTGGCCAAATCTAAGCAAACATGTGATTTGTATTATACAAGAATAGTTAATTTCCTGTTCTATAAGCCTCATTTTATTTTGCTCAAATAAACCAATTTAACTTATAAGATAAAATTTTATAGCCCTATTTATTGCAGTTTTATTATTGTATAAACCTAGCATATATTTTGAATTACAGGTAGAAACATCTCAATAAAAAAACCTTGTTTGACTCAGGACTAATAATCATGCATATTGTTTAGCCAATTAAAATTGTGAATTTGTAAAGTTATAAAAATGATTTAATAATTATGTTCATGCATATTAATATATTAAATCACTGATTTCTTTTTTTTTTGCCATTTAATAAAAAATATACAAAGTTCATTATGTTTTTACTTGAAATTTCATAATTTTATTAATCAACAAATTAGTTTTTTAGTATCATATAATAAATTCATATAAGATCGAATTTGGCACAACTTTTAAAATTTCTTGCTTATTATACAATTGTAAATTTTATCAGGCTAAAAAAGAAGCAAAATTAAATATTATACAATCAAGTTCTTTATAACATGATGAATTTGCAAATTGTATTTCTACAAAAGATGCTAAATCAAAATATGTTATAAAATTATAAATCTACAACTTTTATTTTTGCAAAAAGGATGTTCTATAGAATAAGTGGGCAATATAAAAAATAAACTCTGCTACTAATTAGTAATCATTAATAAATATTTAGCAGAGTTGCAGAGTTTGTAGAGTCTGCCCACCTATTCTATAGAACATCCTGCAAAAAAAAAAAATGTTAAAGAAATTAGCAATTAGAATCAATTTATTTATTTAT